AAAAAATTCTTGACTTACAAAATTACAGGTAGTAAGTACCCAAACTAGCTGGGATTAAGTTCGTTAAATAAAAAAATTAAAAAAAACTACTAAAACTTTCTAGACAGTCTTCCAGTGAGTTTCAGATAGTTGGGTTAAAACATCGAACTTACTTTATAAAGAATAAAATCAAACAACTACATAACACCAGGGCTACTCTGATTAGTAAACTTATGTGTTGCCCATCAGCTTGACCATCGTGTACACGTGCAGATAGTTGGAAGCACGTGATACTAAAGTGAAGAAGATGGCAGCCAGAGCGGGAGAAACCAATTAGGATAGGGTCGAACTGTTGTTGCGGAGGGCTTGACAGTTATCTGTCAATGTCGGCTACTTTCCATAGTTTTAAAACTGCTAGTGCAGCCTCAATACTAATTGGATATCGTTGTACTTGAATAGCAAACACTTCTAAAAAAAAAGTCTCTTCGTACGTTCAAGAAAGAAAGCTAACAGAGTTAACATGTATTCTTGTTATCTTAGCAATTCTTATCTTTGCTAGCTTTAGTTTTATCCACGTATCTACTAACACACGTGTCTCTCAATTAGGACTTGGATAACACATACTAGTGTTATTAATTAATAGTAAATAATATTCATAAATAATGTACGTCTTACTTGTTCTCCGACTGTCAAGTAATATGTGAATATATTTGTAATGTACCTCTTACTTGTCCACCGACTGTCAAGTAATAAGTGAATATATTTGTAATGTATCTCTTACTTGTCCACCGATTGTCAAGTAATATATGAATATATTTGTAATGTACGTATTACTTGTCCACTGACTGTCAAGTAATATGTGAATATATTCGTAATGTACCTCTTACTTGTCCACCGACTGACAAGTAATATGTGAATATATTTGTAATGTATCTCTTTCTTGTCCACCGATTGTCAAGTAATATGTGAATATATTTGTAATGTACCTCTTACCTGACCACCGATTGTCAAGTAATATATGAATATATTTGTAATGCACCTCTTACTTGTCCACTGACTGTCAAGTAATATGTGAATATTACTTGGCCACTGACTGTTAAGTAATATGTGAATATTACTTGTCCACTGACTGTTAAGTAATATGTAAATATTACTTGTCCACTGACTGTTAAGTAATATGTGAATATTACTTTTCCACTGACTGTTAAGTACTATGTGAATATTACTTGCCCACTGACTGTTAAGTAATATGTGAATATTACTTGTCCACTGACTGCTAAGTAATATGTGAATATTACTTGTCCACTGACTGTTAAGTAATATGTGAATATTACTTGTCCACTGACTGCGAAGTAATATGTGAATATTACTTTTCCACTGACTGCGAAGTAATATGTGAATATTACTTGTCCACTGACTGTTAAGTAATATGTGAATATTACTTGTCCACTGACTGTTAAGTAATATGTGAATATTACTTGTCCACTGACTGTCAAGTAATATGTGAATATATTTGCAAGTCTTGCACTTTTTTGTTGTTTTTTTTAAACTAGTCGAAGGCAACCAGAGCTTTCTAATATGACTCCTATTTCAGTGAAAAAAATTATTTCCAGAAAAATTCAGTTAAAGCGAAAGAAGACGCTACTGTATAGTCAGTCCTCAGTTAGTATTATTCTAATAACACATTGTGTTACTTCGATGTGAGCGTTACTATGTATTTACTTTTGAATATTGTGAGATGTTTTGGTTAACTTTTTTTATTGTTTTCATAAACAATCATGTAACCTTTTAGTAAAACACAATTCAATTTATGATATTGAGGACAAAAGGTGCTGAAAAATGGTAATTTATGAATGGTTTATTTAGACCACTTTTAATGGCAAACGTGTACATGATAACAACTTGAAACTGAAAATGTTTTACTTGATTTAAAATCGCTACATTCGAACGATAAAATACGAAATTATATTATTAATGAAGAAATGTATTCTTACTAATAGGGTTTACAAAGTTTTGTTTGGATCATTAACCAAATTAGTGCAATGTTTGGACCTTTCAATTTGTTGTGAAAAAAAATGAAAAGAAAACCATCTACGGCGACATCTGGCGAAAACTTTTAGGCACGATATGTAGAATTCCTAGTATTTTGAACAAATTTAGAATTTACTCTCTGCGACTTTTCTAAATTTACATCTATGAAGTGCGTATAATGACGACGTGAAGTTGGGGGTATTATTTAAGGCGTTGCCAAAGAAAATAGACTAGTCTTGGTACTTAGTTTGTTTTGTCTGTAATGTTGTGTACACTAAAAGACGCCATGTTTTGTCGATAGCCCTTGACTTTTCTTGTAAGATCGAGTTTAAGACTAAACAAGAAATTCCAACCCTCTCATGTGTTTTTTTTTAATACAGTACGTTTTCACAATAGCACAATGAGAAAGCAAATCACTGAAATAAATAGCACACTTCTAGAACGTTTCTTAAACAACATTTCCCGAAAGATTGAGACGTCTTTCACAATTGCAATGTTTAATATTTTGGTGTATTTTAGAATTTCCAGTTCCTGAAAACTCGTCTCAGCTTGACTGTTCAGATAGGAACGTGTGGTTAAATCACAGGTGTAATCAGGTGCTTCGGACTTAACCCAAGAACGCCTTTTTTAAAGAACTATTTATCCGCCTTATTGCTTGCGAGATCATGAATTTATTGGTTGTAGTTTCTCTAACCACACGTGAGTCACACATTTAAACTGATTTAAACCGAAAAATACAACCAATATTGCAGTTACTCTCACTAACTACCGCTGAGATTCTATATATATTTTATATAGAAGAACAATGATTTAACCCCTTTTCCTCAGTTTTTTGACACTATGTGTTGTGACAGGTAGAAACATAAGAATACTGAATATGAATGAAATGTGTGGACTACGCTGATGATGAAAGATATATAAACCAAACGGTAATAAGAGGATTGTATGTTCCTCTTACAGAGTGTTTTAAACTTGTGAATAATAAATTGAGGATTAAAAGTGTTGTGTAAACGTAGCTCAGGCTCTGTAATACTTCTTAAGTATAAGATAATGTTTATAAACCCATAAAAAAGGGATGATTGTTATTTTCTTCCCGCAAAACGAATCCTATTTTGTTGTTAACATAATCATATCCTGGATGGTTGTAAACACTATATTGTTGTAGAAATCATCTTTTAAAGTTCAGACTTGCATTATTTATTCTGAATTGATAGAGTTAACTTCATTAATCCGATTATACGATGTAATATGTTTCTCTACTTGCATCATCTTACCTTTATTAGTCTTTATAAAACTGAGGGTTATCTCTTTCTCTTAACAATCTTCTTCATTAATATATTCGCAACTGATTCATTGTTACCTAACGCGAAGGTAAACTGCGCAGTGGTGTCTGTCCATATGTTTCTGCCCCCCACTGGTATGTCTGAGGACTTACAACGCTAGAATCCGGGTTTCGATACCCTTGGTGGGCAGAGCACAGATAGCCCATTGTGTAGCTTTGTGCTTAATTACAAAACAAAACAAAACCATTTGTTTCTTCATGCAATAAGTTACACATCAGTAACACCAAAATTGCTGACGTGGCCATCGTTGACATACTTTAAGGTTTGTAAATTACATATTCAAAATATAGAAATATAATGTTATAGAATGGTTTGTTTCTCATCGTTCAAACCAAGTGACAAGTTCTGGTAATAACGAAAGACCACCTGGGCAGTGATTTGTGGGAGAAAAAGATATATCTGAAACGTTATTTCTATACGCCTCTGATTTGAATTTTCAACTGACACGAGAAAAAGCAAAAATGTGCAGGCATTATGATTTTATCCCAAAATTCTATGTTTGTTCGTTTCTAATGCTTCGCCAACTTTCGGCGTTTAAACCGTAAAATATTACAAGTAGTAACTCTGTATTATGAATCATCTCTTGTGGTGTTTTGTCAGAAACTACTCTTGTTGTATTATGGATTTTTTCCTCTTCCTTTTTGTGTTTTATAAACAAAGAATATCCTTGTGAAGATTTGCCCCCCCCCCCTAAAGAAAAAAGCGCGAGCATGAACTATGTTTCAACTAATCATGATCGATTATTTTATATAAGTAATGATCCGGGGAGAGCACTCCGATGTGTTCTGGGAAAACTCAAACTCTCTGCCTATATGATTTTTAATTGTATTATTTATATGCGTTTTACTCGCTACTCCCCTCTCCCATGTCTTAATTTTAGAAGCACACATGAATATTTCCATTCATTTCATTTGCATGTATAATTTTCGCAAAAAAATACTAAAGGTTATCTACACAGAGCCATCCCTAACTCTGAACTGATATGCTAGAAGCAAATCAGCTATTCAACGGCACACACTATCAACTCTTGAGCCACTCATGCTTGACCTAATAGTTGGAATTAATCTTACTCCTCATAATACACCCACAACCTAACATGTGAAATGCATCTTAGTGGAAATTGGACGCAAACCACGAACCCTTGGATCCACAGTCAAGGCACACTAACCACTGGTTCACACCCTACACCTCCATGTTTTACAATAGGTGTTTGACCTCGTAATCTGTATACAGATTTGACTTTATATTTCTGTGGATACCTCGTTGATTTCTTTCTCTCATTGAAAAGCGAACAAGTAATGATAAATAACGTGTGGAGATTGTGTCTGGAAGGAACTAAAATAAATATTATTGTTATTTAAAATGTAATCACAGTACGCTCTATTTTGTTGTGAAATCTTTAAATCCTGTCCAATGATGTCTTTGTTTTAATGTTTTACTTTCAAGTGGAAGATATAATGTTGATTTTATAAGCATGGAAAGGCATACCTGTAAAGTTGGGTTTTCTATGAGGTAATATCGTTTATATTACTAAAGTAATTACACCTTGAAAACGTTGCTTTCAAAGCTGTTTATTACATATGTTACCTGAGGCAGTTGGTCTAGCTAGTGAGATAACATCAGTACGATTGGTCTTGGGTTGTGTAACAAGGAACTGCCGCTGGTTACCGCTCCAGGCTGAGGTGATACCACTACCTGATCGTGCGCTCGAACTGATACTCCTCTCTCCCCGTCACATAGTCAGTAGACTCTCCCTGACTTCTCGTGGATTATTGACCCTCGTGACTAGGCTCGCGACGCAGTTATTAGGCGGTATGGCAGTTTGCCCGACCGAGATGCGGTGAGTTCGGCAGCTTCGAACGGGGATTCAAACGAAATTCTCAGTGTTCCACCTCCGATGTCATGCCATGCGTACTGACGACGAAGGGAGGAGGATTTGTAGAAGCGAGCCTTTCTAACGTGTGTACAATCATTTTAGTCTTCAGTGAGTCGAGCTGACTCGGAATAAAATCCTTTCTCGACAGCTCTTGGCACAGAGAAGCGGGACTGACCAAAGTGTTCGTATTCATTCTAATATGTTGTGAAAATACGTCATGACTCTCGCTGGAAAAAAAACAAATAAAACATCAGATAATGCTTATAAGGTAAGTAATTCTAAACTTAATACACATAAGGTTAATATAATCTCCAAGATTTGAAAAAAAAAACATTCGTTTCCTATGAATAGTTGATTCTATTACTTACCACGAGAGGGTATAACAATTGTGACACATAAAAAATCTGCAAATGTATATAGGATTAGAGAGAAAACGATTAATTCACCATCATCTAAGCAGCCTCTAAAGTTTTTGTAATGTTGTACTGTTTTAGTAGCTTTTTTCGTTGTTGTAATGATTAGTGTCTTAATTAACTGACTTGTGAACTACTACTAGGTGTTAAGTAAGGATTATAAAACGTGCAATAAGGTAAGCGGAAGCCGTGCCTGGACACCAGATCTGTAAATCTTCATCTGGAACCTAAACATTGTAGCCGTGTGTAGGCCTTTAATTCACTTTTAACCAAGTTGGAGTCAACCAAACAGTCTGAAGAATTGATTACACGGACATAAAGTACTTCATACCGAATTGGAGTAATTTAGTAGCACATAGTTTTTTGTTTTTACCAGATTGAAGTAATTTAGTAGCATAAAGTTTTTCTGTTTTTACTAGATGGGAGTAATTTAGGAGCATAAAAGTGCTTTAAACCAGACTAGAGTAAATTAGAAACATAAAATGTTTTACACCAGATTGGAATAATTTAGGGATGAAAGTGCCTTAGGAATATTAAATGCTTAAAAGTTACTCGAGACTATTTGGGAACGTAACATGATTTAAAGCAACTCTAAATCAAAATTCTATTCAACAGTCTAGGTTGTATTTTTAATCATGGCGGTAATGTGATACCGCGCATTTTGAAACTTCAAATCTTTATTTTGTTAAATCTACGTTCATGATCTTGAATAGAAATTCATTATTTGATTTGATCTTCAGTTTTATTTTAGAATGTGTCGGTAACAAAAGCAACAGCAAAATCCTCTGATTTTTATTCTCTATTTCACCTAATTAAACTCGGTGTTTTACTTATGACGATACGTTTAAAGGCATTTTTCTGTGGAGACTTTGGCTTAGAACTTTTGATAAATGCCCTTAAAAGCACAAGTTCTTAACTGAAACAGTAAGAAATTAATCTCTAGGATCGTAGCGAAAAGGCAAATAATACTTATTCATATTAATATAAATTAGTTCTCTACACGATACTCTTGAGATTAGTGTGTGTACATGGCTATAACTTTGATGCTAGCTCTAGGAAAATAAGACTTAACACTTGTTTTACGTATAATATCTGTTGGACTAGTGTTAAGTTTGGTGTAGTGAATGTTAAAAAAAATCTTTCTCCTAAAAATATTTTGTAATGAAAATAATATCTAAATACATTCGTTGAAGTTAATAAACTGGAAAGAATTTTTTCAACGAGAATGGTAAAAAAAAGAATACTTCCATTATTCCTTGACGCATAAAATAATCGTGAAGTGTGTTTTTTCGAGTGATTTGGATTAATAAATAAAAGGTTTATATTTCCGTGCTATTAAATGAAGCGTACAGTTTTAATTGCCATCAGAGACATACGGTGGAGAGTAATTGAAGCTCACGTCTTTTAAATGATTTGTATTTGGCGAGGGTTCTATGATCAACGAATCTAACTAAGAGAATAATAAAAAATAAAAATCAACAACTAGAGTACTGAAACTAATGTAATTTTGTGCATTGTGGAGGTTGCTACGCCACAAAACGTCCTTTCATTGGCTTCCTCTGATTTACTTTTTCTTTGTTTGACGGCACTTTATGCCTTTTACTGCTGGCCTTCTTCACGTCTATTCGGCCAGATACCACTCACTTTCTCTCTGGTCGAGGTGTGTTCTATCAGTTTCAGCTGGCCCTTTTCAACTTTGATTAGCAAGGGCTAATTAACGCTGGCATTTCTTCGAGTGAAGTCGGTCGGTCAGATACTGCAAGTCCTTTTTCGGCAGGTACAATTGGGGATCTTTCGCAGGTCCTTCGGAATAGAGACTAATTACATACTACTGCCCTTTTTATGTATATTTTACAAGTTAATGCTGGCTTTTTATTCATGTCCGTTGGGTTGGATATCGTTGACTTTTATTCACGTCTGTTGGGTTGGATATCGTTGACTTTTATTCACGTCTGTTGGGTTGGATATCGTTGACTTTTATTCACGTCTGTTGGGTTGGATATCGTTGACTTTTATTCATGTCCGTTGGGCTAGATACCGTCAGTTTTTTAGTTATAACTGGCTCTGTTCGGCTAATTACTTTTGTGATAAATAATTCTAGTTTTCCTTCAGCAAAAACTTTGCCTTTCCAAGAATTGTCAGGTAGTTACTGCTGGCTTTTCTTCGGGTTCGTTCGGCTACATACCGATGGCCCTATCCAGTTCTGTTTATTCAGTCACATTTGTTCTTTTCAAAATTGTTATATAGCTTACCGTTGGCTCTCTCCAAGCGTGTTCTCTTGTCGTCGTTGGCTTTTTATACAGGTTTGTTAAACTAGTTATCGCTTATGTTTGTCATGCGTATCTGTAGAGAATCACCAAATAGCAGAACTGAAGATGACGACAGTAGGTAGCCGAAACGTCGTTAAAATTTGAAGAATAGATTCAGTGTAAAGAGCACGTAAAACACCAGATAACTTCCAGTCCTTGGGAATAACGTTTATTTGCATTACTAGGACACGGTGCTACATTGTGTCAAGACTTTGTATTCAACTGCTGGACGTTTGTCGCTGTTCCGTTTAGGATTAGCGGCAGGATAACATCAGCCCCGTCACAGAGCGTAGCTCTTTAGTGAACGAATGAAAGAAGAATGAAACCAGCCAGTTATCACATGAAATTGAGACGTCTGGGTCTGTATGTTAGCCTTGCTTAGTTCAGCGACGCCGTTGCTGTGACCTGAGATACTTATATGGCTGATGTGTGCCAAGAGTGCTACATGATCAAAGGCTACTTTATTAATCAATTTTTATAACTAGAAGGTACAGAGTTTATAGTCTCTCATACTTGTTTAAACGTGAGCAAGTTTTTGAGTTATTTGGTCGCACTGTTTAGTCAGTAATTGCAACTTTATTATCATTAAGACCATGTTTCTTTTTACATATTCACAGAATTCAGTGAAGTGCATGATTTATCTCGTAAATCATGTTTAAGCTTTCAATATATGAAGAACTTACTGGAGACATCAACTTTTTTCTCTAAGAAGGATGCTAACTTTCCTTGTAGTTTTAAAACATTTATTTTCGTAATCTTGTATTGTTTGGTTTTATTTGTCACTATTAACGCAAAGCTATATGTAATGGACTATGTCCGCAGCATGAATCGAACGTCGAATTCTCACATTAGAAGCTGTCAAGCTACACGCTTAGACACCAAAGGTTATTTTTATTGAGGGATCACCTGTTTTAACAACTCGCACCACAACACAGTAGTGTGTTGTTTGCCAGTCAGTCAGTCAGAAGACATTAAAATGACATCCCATAAGGGACGCTTAACGTTGCAATGTGTACTTTAGTGACGTCAGTAAAACGAGCACATGCCATGAATCACGAGAAGAATTATACACTCTGTTGGCTTCAACGCAACATGGCATATGAACTTCAAAAGCAAAAAAGTAAATAAGTTTGTTACTTTTAATTTTGATTTTATTTACTCTTGAAACAGAAGACTTTCGGGGACCCTGCGGGAAGTACATCTAGTAATAACTGTACATTGATAATTAGTCCATTTCTAAAAGTCGTGTACTAGTTAGTTCTCTTCTAGATTTAGATGTCGCAACAGATTTCAGCTTCGTTTTAATTAAACCTGTCCTAACAGCCGTGTAGATACCTTTTTTTTTTTTTGTCATAAAAGACAGTAATAAACATATCTGCTTGAATAATAAAGTGGGACCTGAACCGTGTATATTATGTATCCGTAAATACATACATTTGTTAGTAAAGCGAGTTATTTCAATACCTGGCCATGGGTAGTGTTGTTTTCTAAGCCGCAGATAAGATATTAAATATAGTTCTGTTTAACAAAAGAAACAGCAAAGAAGAGCGTGTGTTAAGTACATAAGATTTGATTGGTCTTGCATATATATATAAATTTTTAGTGCTGATTTGATTGAGTTGAAATTAAAGAATTGTAAATAAATATACCTATTGTAATGTTTCGTCTTGTCTTTATCTGTGTTTGGTCGTTATGCACGATTTGGGAGGGTCAGGTACTCTTCGGACCTCTTTCTCCCTCCTTTACTTATAATAATAATAATTTCCAGTTTTTGTTTGTCCTGAAAATGCGCGCGCATCTTACTATCTAAACGCCTAATGCTCGCGCACTTCATTTCAACGAAATAAATAGAAGGCGGATGTAAGTACGATTTAGTAGGCATTTAAACAACAACATATTAGAAAAATTATCACAGTTTTAAAAATGTCTAACTTTAGGTCGTAGAATAACATTACAAGTTTATTTATTGATAGTATTAAGTATGGTGAAGGTTGGCGCTAATTAAACTAAAGCAAAAAGAAAAAAGAAAAAAACGGTACACAAGTTACAGTTTAATTTATCTCTTTATCGAAAATAGGCCTTACTTAATAAAGGCTTAACTAATGACAAGTGGTCCTGTAGGTTTCAGTGTCTATGATTAGGGTTCATTTGTGTTATTCTCGAAACTCTGTATTTAATAAAGCACTATTGAAATAAAGATACTAATCTGACCGCAAATGTTTTGCGGGTCTTTGCTAGTATATATAATAATAATAATAATAAAACACAGAGCAAAAGATACATTTTAGTAAATTTTACACCAAAATGAAGGAAAGCTTTAAAAACTGCCTGTTGAACCCTTGACGATAAAGAAATATTAAGTTAAGGAACGAAACAGAAAACAAACAACAACAAAATGAAATCGGAACAACGGAATAACATTACACCAAATCACTATTACATGGTGGGAAAATGTAAAAGGTATCTTAGATTTGTAACTGTCTTACCACGCAACTAATTTATGTCTCGGTATTATGTTATTCTGTTGCTGCGATGTCTTTTTTTAT